AATTTGTCTCCATCTTCCAGTGGCTGGCTTTCTCTCTAACTTTTTTCAATAGATTAAAGACCTCTCTGGCACCAAGCATTTCCTAATGGTGCTTTCAAACTGATTCCATCACATCTCTTGTGAGAAAAATCATGTTTTCTCATATTTCCCTCCCTTCTATTTCTCAAACCAAAATAAAAACCCAATTGTTTTGATATTTTTCTGCCCTTTGTCCAGTTGTCCAACATTGTTTTTACAATACAGGCAGCTGAAGGGCAGGGAGTCTGTCTCACCAGCCTGTGTACAACAATAAGATCATCTCCCCACTTTGGTACTTCTCTGGTTTTGCAGTCCAAGACTGCTGTTTGTTCTAGAATTGCCCTGGGAGTTCATGCTGAATTATCTGTCTGCTTCTAGCTTTTCAGTCTTCCAGGGTTACAACTTTCCAGGAAATGGGATGTCCCCTGGGGTTCTTGTATAATTTTTGTTTTGTTTAAAGTCTGAGCATATTCCCAGTGGGATGTTTGCACATGCAGTTGTTTTCCTTCAAGATATAAAGCATTATAATGTATTTCAGATCATTGTCAGATACCACTGTGCAAACACTTCAGTTTGCGTTTTCCACATGGAGCAAATATTTGTAAAAGGATAAGGAAGAAATTAGTGGAGAAAAATGCTACTGTCTTTACTAGCGTGATGTATTCTCCATATCAGGTTGGAAAGTGCAGAGAAAACTTGTATTTTTTCTCTAGGATAGGAAGTAAGCTTCACGAATCACATGGTGTTTCTCAGGATTGCAACTCAATTATATATGTGGAAAACTGTCTGATAGGACAAAGAAAATATACAATCTGCTGATAAGGACACTGATAAATTGAATCAATATTTCTAATTGGAATAAATGGCATGCATGTTTCTTTTCTCTGCAAATCTGGCTTTACAATCCCTTTTTCATGCACTCCGTGTCAGAAGAGGGAAAGGCACAGGATTTCTTGGTGCCACAAATAAAATACGGTGGTTGAAAAGTGAAGCTGTGCAAGACAGTGGGCTGGAAAATCAACAAGGGCTGGAAATGGAAAGTAAGATTAAAGGTAACACTTGAGCACAAGACTATCCTTAGCAGCTTCAGAATAGCATGCAGTTAAATAAACACTCACGCAGAGCTTGCTTTGCAATGTGCCTTGCTCTCACTTTTAACAGCAGATGATTGCTGTTTACTGGAGGGTAGTGAACCACAGGAAGTTGGCCTTTTTTAGCCCTCTTGCCCTGGAAAAGAACTATGTGAAGGCAACTCAATATAAACTCTCTTCCTTCCCTTCTCAGCTCCCCACCCCCAGCTGTGGCTTTTTTCCTTGACTATGTATCTGAGCATCTCCAGCTCAGGCAAGTGAGGATCACTCCCAGCTATGGAGTGGCTTTTTTTGCTGGTGGTGCTGATTCTTTGTGTTTTGTACAAGAGCACAATGATTCAAACCTGCCTGACCTGGGGTGCCAGAAGTACCAGAACTTTGCAATGGGAACGTCCCGACCCTCAGCCCCTTGAAGAAGAAACTGAATGATGAAGCAATTTGCAGCCTCAGAAGTTTAGGATGTCATGAACACCTTTAAACAGTTTCTGACTGTTCAAGTGGTAGTTGCTTAATGAGATGAGTTATGTTATTACAGTACTGTGGAGTGGAATTGCCAACAGGTTTTGACACTCGCCATAACTAAGTTTTATGTGAAGGGAAATATAAATCTTGCATCTAGGAGTCCTGTGCATATGGAAACACGGACAGTGAGGTGCTGAGATCAGTGCCACAGGCCAAGATCTTTTTTTATCCCCAAGAGAATGACTTTGGAAATAATTTGAAAGTGAAGAAAGTAAAAGATGTGAGTGAAGAAGAGCTGCTTTTTCAGAAAAGCCACTGAAATATGTACTTGATATTTGGCCAAAGGAAAATGATCCAGACTTCGTTTGGTGACCTAAGATATGCTGGTTCACTTTGCTTGTTCTGGTGATTTTGGTTATGATATTCTGCTTTGCAGTTGTGACAGGCTAGTTTTGTAATTCAGTATCAGCAATAAATTGTTAAATTGTTAATAATCATTGCAAATCAGCTTGGACTGTGGGGGTTTTATAACCTCTGCAGCCAGATTGTCTAGCACTGTAACATTTAATTGGGGTCTAACAGATGGGCTGTTATTTTAAGGATGTTTTTTGATATTGTTGAAGTGATGTATATTTCCTAGTCTGATCAAAAGCATTTATTCCTAAAAATTCTTATTTAAAGATAAATGTTTGGTGTCCTAAAACGGAAGGTTACTTTAGGAAATTAGAACTTTTAACTTGAAACAAGAAAACTAAGTTTAAAAAAAAAATAAAAGAAAGAAAGCTGCAAGTAGAACAAACTCAATGTCCTTCTCAGTGCTAAGTGAGCTGCTTTAGTTAAAATGTTGGTAGCCCTGATCTCCTTAACTAAGTCAAAGTTTAAGAAAACTGTGCTTTAAGAAAAGCCTCCTAGACTGAACTTTTCAGTGGATTCATATGAAAAACAATTCCTTAGTGAAGGGTGAGAGTAGCAGTATGGAAAAGTAAAGTAGGGAACTAAACAGCAGGTCTGTCTGTATCTTATGAGGCTGAATATTTGGTCTCTGGTGGTCTTTCTCTTCCTACCCTTGAAAGACCTTATAGGTTTTAATTACATTTTGGTGTCCAAACAGAAAATATCTGAAGCTATTACAGTCTTTCAAGGTGGAAAGGCAATCCTCCCAGACAGCTACAGTTCAGCTGATTTTTTTCTGAGGTGCTGAATTTCCTGTCTCTGTGTGCCTGACTGGCATTTCCCTTAAATGCCAATAATGGCCAGTCTCTTCGCGAACGAAGAACCGGGGAAGGTGTTTCCACCTTCCAGCCTGCGCATTGGATTTTTTAGGTGAGACACAGTGTGCGCGGAACTGAGCCCACCCTTTAATCCTGAGGTTCATCTGCCGGGGCCAAGCACGCTTGGACGGTGGCAGTGAGGTCCTCAGGACGTAGATGGATTGCCTTACGGGCTAACGAGCTCCATCTGCCCGGGGAGGGGCCCCGACCGGGAATCGAACCCGGGTCTCTGCAGTGACAGTGCAGTGTATTTTCCCCTGGACCACCGGGGGCTCCCGGCATTTCCCTTAGTGTAGCAGGAAATCCACGTCGTGCCAAGAGATGGAACACTGTTCAGGGAGTGCCTCTCCGTGCTGAGGAGACGGAGGGATGGCCCTGAGGCAGGTTTGATCAACCTGTGGAGGTCCTCAGAGAGCAGAAACTCTGAGCTGCAGCCTCCAAAACACTGCCCTGTAGAAGCACAGGGTGTATCGACCCACACGATTAGATTTGCTCAGTGCAGGAGTGGGTTTGTCGAGCCTGCAGCTATGGCCAGGCTACTCACAGTACCCAATATTGCTAATTTAAAGATAGCCTGATGTGTCTACATTGATTTCAATCACAGTAGTGCCTTTCTTTCCATGGATAAGCAACCTGGAGACAGACTAATTGATTACACGTATTTTGATCACTTTGCTTTGCTTCTTGCCTTTTTTTGCTATTCATGTTTAAGAGTTTAAATACTCAAGGACATGTAAAATCCATATGTATTTGTGAGCTAAATAAGAACAAAATTTCTAAGCCTTATATTTGGATTTTATACTAGCTAATGCAGAAATCACATGGATGTGAGCCGTGCACCAGGTCTGAGCTTCTAAACCTTTCTGAAAACTTGAGGTTAAAGCTGAGAAACCTTTATAGCCTGAAGAACGCTCATGGATCACATCCCCTATTTCAGTGTCCACAGGATTCAACCATCTTATTAAGTCTTTCATGTTTGATAACTGGATTTTTTGTTATTGAAAGCAAGAATTGTCTTTGTAAAAGAATTCTGAGCAATTGGCAGTATCTACCCCACCTCACTCTCTGCTATAGTGCCATTTTTAAAACATGAACAGGTCTGATTATTCAACCAAGAATTGTGCACACTGAAGATATGTGTCAGTGATTGGCATTATATTGTATTTAACAAACTGAAAAACATTAGCAATTTGAGGATTTGAAAACAGAGGTATTGGGGATCCTGTCCAGAAGTATTCTTAGGGAAAATCTTATCTATGATTAAAAGGGAATTATCTCATTAAATGTCTTAAGGGTCCAAGAAAATGAGTTGGGCATTGTTTGTTTTGATTTGATCTTTTTTTTCTTTTTTAATGCCTCTGCATTTAGCCATAGTATCTGTATCTGCAGCTGCATCATGGCTGATTTACAACTTGGATGAAGCAGTTTGAGGCAGCTGAGAGGGGACTGCTGAGATTCAGATGGACTTTTCATGCTCTTTCCCTTTCATTACATAAAGTGAGGAATGCAAAGAATGTAGAGAGACAACAGCTTAAAAGCAGCCGGTTTGGCTTTTGAACACCAGGCACGTTTACACCTATAGTGTGATATGAGTGTGTATGGCACAGCTTTACAAACAGTAGCTGGACACTTGGTCTTCTGGGTCATTACCAAGACTGAGGTTGTGTGTGTTCGACAGACAATGGGGCAGTTCTCTGCTTCTTTCTTTCAGCAGCAGCAGAGCTGGCAAAAGTGAGCATTAGGGGTCTTGCTTCTGGGATTCTTTAACCCTCTCTGTTAGACCCTGATTTCATAATGTACCAGCACGAGCAGCTGAGACACTTAAAAGAATTCCTAACTCCCTGACTTGTGTGATTGTTCCCATCCTCACCTTGTGATTCCCTGTCGCCTCAGTTTGCTGGGAGTAGCTGGTTGTGAGGACAGGTAATAGCACCCAGTACCTGGCTTTAAGTCAGTCCTTTTAAAAATAAATAAATTTTAAAAATTCTTCTCTGTTGGGGTTTGAATAAGTTGTGAATATTTCTGTGCTAGTGCTTAAAAAAATATATGTGGAACCTCATCCTTAATTAAACAAATGCCATGATTAAAGGAAATGCTGAAGCAAACAAACAGTTTCTACATTTTTCAATGTATTGAAAAATAATTTTTTTGTTTTCAGCATTACTTGAGAAACCCATCAGCAAAAGGCGAGACAGCGAAGCTGTGCAGAAGGCCAAGATCCTTTATGCATCCTGCATGAATGAGAGTAAGTGCCTTCATTTGAGAGGGGCATATGATCCTGATGTGTCCCTTCCAGCACAGCATATTCAATGATTTTAAGATATATGAGTTCCCTGTGTTTATAAAGGCAGGAGTTTTATCTCTCTGCTGAGCTCTGTGCAGATGCACGGATTTTGCTGATACGGATTCAACTGAGTCCAGAGGGTCTTCTACACATTTCTGAAGCTGAGGTACACCCAGGCACTAGAAATCAGTTTTAGAGACACCTCTGATTGTCAGAGAACTGTGAATAGATATTTATCTGTGCAAAAGAATGCTGTGTCCCAGGGTTGTGGGGTTAGTGCCTTGGGTCACTAAAGCAGAGGAGCTTCCGATGAAATTCTTATACTGATATTTTCAACAGCCTGTGGCTCAGCACCTTCTATATTTCTCTAAATTTATTTAATCAAAACACTTCCTCAAGGCTGAGTATAGACAGCCCTGGACTCTTTATCTGCTTTGAGTCAAGCAAGTTAGGATGGGAAGCACTACAGCCCTGTTTGCAGTGCTTTTCCTCAGCTTATAAATGCTGCTGTAAGCAGCACATCACTACCCTTATGTAGCTGCACAGGTGAAAGATGAGTTGGAAGTGCCCTTTGTCCGTCTGGATTGTGGGCAGTTTTGGTCACTGCAGTATGAGAAAGATATTAAGCTATTAGAGAGTGTCCAAAGGAGGGCAACCAATATGGTAAAGGGCCTTGACTGGAAGCTAAATGAGGAGCAGCTGAGGGCACTTGGTCTGTTCTGCCTGGAGACTGAGCGGAGACCTCATTGCAATTACAACTTCTTCATGAGGGGAAGAGGAGGTGCAGGCACTGATTTCTTCTCTGTGGTGACCAGTGACAGGACCCAAGGGAATGGCCTGAATTTGAGTCAGGGGAGGTTTGGATTAGATATAAAAAAAAGGTTCTTCACCCAGAGGGTGGTTGGTTCCCTAGGGATGTGGTCACAGCATTTGGTATGTTACCACAGATGTGGTAACAGAATTCAAGAAGCATTTGGATGATACTCTCAGGCACGTGCTGTAACTCTTGGGGATGGTCCTGTGCAGGGCTAAGGGTTGGACTCAGTGATCCTTGTGGGTCTCTTCCAACTCAGCATATTCTGTGATTCTGTGATTCCATTATTTCCTGGACCATTTTCTTCCAGCACAGCCCAAGACTGACTGCCAGCAATTGAGACAGCCTGTCCTGCAGCCTTGGTGCCAAGATACTGCCCCTCTAGCTTTGGTTATGTACGATAACCAACCCCTTCTCGGCCCCACAGAAACAGTGAAGTTTCTATGCTAGTTTCTAAATCAGATTTTTTTTTTTTTTTTTAACATTTACTTAATTCCAGCCCTTGCCTTTTTTGAAAGGTACTGATTTGCCCCTATTATTCTTAATACACATAAACGGTGCTGCTGTGCTCACAGGCAGAGCAGAGGCTTTGGGTTTCAGCTATAGTGTTTTGTCTTGCCTAGAAATCAATTGATGCCATTAAATCTTTGTCTTGTGTGTCTGCTGCTGCATTTGAATTATCTGGAATGTAATTGTTGTCACACTTTGGCATTTCAGATAAAATTGAAAAAGCCGATGTGAAGCCCCTGTTAAGCATCCTGAGGCATTCACCCTTCCGCTGGCCTGTGCTGGAATCCAATATTGGGCCTGAAGGACTGTGGTCAGAAAGGAGGTTTAGTTTAGTCCAAGCCTTGGCAACTCTTCGTGGCCAATACAGTAACTCTGTTTTCATCCGTTTATATGTGGCTGCTGATGACAAAATCTCCAATCGGTATATCCTGAAGGTACCATATAGCATATCTAATAGGTTACTTCACATGGTATTTTATGGTCTTCTTTTTTAAAACATGTTTGCATGCCAAATGTTTGCACTTGATTATTCTTGTTATTATCTACCGACACACAGGTGTTCATAGCTGCCAATTGGTAGGAATGTAGGATCCACTAGCAACCACATGCTATTGAAAAATATTTCCTACAGATTGTTTTCTTCTTTCCAATGACTGGGGAAAAAAAAAATGTTGCCAGTAGACCAGTGTCCAGGGTCTATGTGCATGAGAATAAGAGGTCAGTATTTAGTTCTGGGCATATTCTGGGTGCTGCTTTTGACTCATTAGTTGCATGAAGAACGTTGGGGTTTTTTGTCTGTGAAGATGAAGAATGATGCATCAGTAGCAGATATTCTGAACTTGAGTTATTTTTCTTAAGATGTAAATGAATAATCTGGTGCTTATATGACAGCTTATGACACAGATGTATTCCAAGCACTTTTAGTCTTGAAATACAGAATTTACCTTTTTCCTGAAGTGCTATTACTTTTAGACCAAAGCATTACCATTTTGTTAGCAGTGTATGGCATTACACAACAGTTTAGTGAGAAAAAGACCCAAGAAATGTTGCCTCCCTGTAGTCTGACAAAACCCCAGAGAACATTGTATTACTGTGAGATGTCACCACAGCAAGTGTGAGTGTCTGGGCCAAATGCATTGTTGTTTAAGAACTACAGATGAGAGGCCAGAGTAGACCAGCCCTCCCCTGCTACAAGAAAATAGGTTATGAAGGCAAGAAAGTAGGAGAAAATAAGAAAGTTATGATGCCATTCATCATAGCAAAATAGGATCTATGATCTTTATTGTGCTGGCATCGAAGCTGGCTGTATGAATGTAGCCAAGAATACATTGTATTTAGAGATCAAACAACAGTTAATTGTGTTTGTACTGGAGTGGGTGTCAATTCTGAGTCAGTTCTTCAAAATGACTTCTGACTTTATAGCATTTAACTGCTATAAAGTTGAAGGGTAACTTTTTCCCATCTCTGGGACATTTTCCTGGATAGTCAACAGCAGATCAACAGTTTGCTGTATGTAAGATGTCATTCTGCTAAGATGCTTTGAAGATCTTCTCAGGTTTTCTTTGTCTGGAGACTTGTTTAAAAGAGCTGAAGCAGTAGAATCAGACAGATGTTTAGTTAGGTATCTCCTGTCATAATATTTCAGCCCAAATCACCTGTTACCAAAGGGCTGGGCAGGGATATCCTTACTGCTGGGTCTCTTGGAAATGAATTATAACTATCAGCACCTTCCCTTGGTATGCTTAGTGGTGCCTAAGAATTAAGTATCTGAATAACTGAAGCACTACATGCTATGAATAATGTATTATTCCGTAGGGTATTCTGTCGTTAATTTGATTAAGATCTTGATCTACAGATTGCATCAGCCAGTATTCTTCTTTGTCTGTGTTTTTAACAAATTCCCAGGAGTGTAGATGAACCATGGAGTATTTCAGTCTGCTTGTGAGAATGACTTTATTGCAAAATTCTTTTTGTTCAGTGTTGCAAAATCATCAACGGATCATAAAAAAGTAAAAACTCCAAGTAAAACTTTGTTCAGCATTCAACATGATTTTTTTTTTTCCTTGAGGTCTAAAGAAGTTGGTTAACTTTGGTTTCCTTCTCATATTTGTGCTCTCTTGGTTTTAATGTGTTGCCAGATCTAAGTCTCAAGCTCAGGAAATTTGGATGAATATTTAATGTAACAGTAACATGACTGAAATAGACCAAATAGTCTGAAGCTAACTATTGCAAAGACACACCTACAAAAAGCATGAGTATGTTCTTTTTGCTTCAATATGCTGAGAAAAGAAGGTGATACTGTTTTTCAAAGAACCAGATTTATACTGAGCATCATAGTTGCTCTCCTTTTTGAGGATGATTTGTTTTATTTGTTTATGGAGTATTTTAAAGATTGTGAACATCAGCTAGTGGAGGAAAATATTACATTTAATAATTCATTTTAGATTATAAGATTTATTTATTTGGAACATTTTTATAAATGTGGAAAATGTGAAATATAAATTATTTAACCTAAATAATTTAGATTAAAAGACATATGAAATTGTATGAATAAATACAATCTCTTTTTACTAGATGTGTCTTTTAAAAGCAGTTACAACATCAAAACAATAATTTTAAAACATCAAAACTGTTGTTTCTGCTCCAATCAGTGTCTTATACAGAGTTTGGAAGCTGGTTGAATGAAGTTTTCAGCTTTGGCTTTCATACCCTAGCCTAACTTCACTGCATTGATAAGTTCTGGGAAATCTCAGTTCCCAGTAACAATTATAAAGTATACCCTGTATTGTGAGTTTTGCCTGGTTAGGAATTTGAAACAGTATGCATATAATCCCACGTAGATATTTCACTCAAAACTATGTGCAGATCTCAAACTTTGAGGTCTGGTTTAGAAATTATCTTGAGGCCCTAATTCCAACATTAAGGTGACTGCAAGCCAGCAGATTTGGTCCATATTTAGATCAAAAAGGTAAGTGAAAGTCAAAGATCCATCTGGACCTACTAGGCACTTTTAGGTAATGTATTGGAGAGATAAGAATATCCTAGGCATGCATGCAATCCTGGATGGTATCCAGCTGTTTCATATCTATTCAAAAAGCTAAATTCAGCACCCAGTGGTGGTCTGGGATGAAGCACAAAAGTGTAATCTCAGTTTCAGTCAAGAAAAGCTAATGATGCCCTCCAGATACCAAGCAACTAACATGCTCCAGCACCTGGTGGATATTTGCTCCATACAATAGGCTAGTGTGTCCCAAAGCTGACTCTTGTGACCCTGAAATGTGCGTAGGATGAATGGTCATCAGCACCAACTATTTGATCCTGTGGACCCAGTCCTATTGCATTACCTAATGCTAATGGAGCCATAAACACCTACATCACAAAGGCTTAGATATTGCAGGGGGCAACTGAGGCTGCCCAGATCACAGTAATGTCTTTTAGTTAATATCTGTCAGCACAGCATAACATTTTTCTGTTGTTTTGAATTCCTGTGGAGCTCAAGCTGCTGCAGTGTATTGTGTATGTATATTTGCACACATCTACCATAACTGGCAGAGAAACTCTTCCAAGGTTGCTTATCAGTCTACCTTTGATTTCTGATGAATTTACCTATTAAATGTTGCTTCTCGTTATTTTTAACAGATTGACCAAGCAAGCCTCTCTCTGGCATCTAGAGAGGATTACCTAGAAAACACTACAGAAGCCAAATCTGTAAGTACTATCAACTGGAAATTTGAGTGGCCATTTTTACCCTCAGCTTTTTTCATTGTTGGTTTTGTTTTATTGAGCTCCGAACTGAGAATGAGCTGTGCATTGTACAGATTTGTATTTTTCAGGGTATCTTCTGTCAGAAAACACCATCACTACCACAAACACTTTGGCAAAGTTTTCTAAACAATGATTTTTGTAAGATTTGGGGTCCCCCTACTTTTCTTCCCACTTGGAAGGGGCCTCTGGAGTTCATCTTGTACAGCTCCTCTGCTGAAACAGGATTTACCTCTGCAATATACTACTTGTGACTGGCCTCCAACTAGACTTTGTGCTGCTGATCACAACACTCTGGACCTAGTCATTCAGCTCATTTTCAATCCTCCTCACTGTGCACTCCCCTACTCTGTACTTTTTAACCTTGGTGATCAATCACAACTGTTGTCCTCTCATCCACCAAGATATTAATGTAATTGTAGAAGGTTATTAGCCAGGTTAATACCTGTGATTATCTTATCCTTCATGTGTTTGGAAATAGTTTCCAGGAGAACTTTCTACATCACCTTCCCAGTAATTGATATCGGGCTGACCAGTCTGTAGTTCCATGGGTCTTCCTTTTTGCATTCCTTGAAGATAGGGGTAATGCTTGGTCTCTCCCACCCTTTTGGAACCTCTCCCAGTAGGTATGACCTTCCAAATACTGTCCGGAGTGAAGTTTCAGTGGTATCAGCCAGTTCCCTCAGGACTCATGAGTACAGTCTTTCAGACCTGGATCCACTTATGTCCACTTTGTTCCCTAATCTGGTCCTCTTCCACTGAGTATAGGTCCTCCTTGCTCCAGATTTCCTCTCTGGACCCAGGGGCCTGAGATTCCTGAAAGTCAGTCTTATTAGTAAAGACTAGAGCAAAGTTGGCATTGACTAACTTTGTCTTTTCAGTGTAATTTGTTACCCTGCTCCATTTAGTAGTAGGTCCATGTTCTCCCTACTCTTCCTGTTACAGCGTTTTTCCCCATAGGTCTTCACATCCCTTGCCAGATTGAACTTCAGGTTGGCCTTCGTTTTCCTAGCCATATCCCTGCAAGATTTGTCAGCACTTCCTGGGTATACAACTTATTTTCTTGCAGCATTTCTGTGGACAGCAGTTGTGAAATAATGATGTTTATCAAATGCTTTAATGTATCAATACTTGACTATGACTACAGAACCTTTTTCCCCCTCATTCAGTGAAGGCCTGTGGACAAGTGTCTGTCATGAGCAGCTCAAAACTCAAAGAAAACAACTTCTGGGGTTATCTGGGGGACAAGTCATTGCTGCTGATTTTTTTACGGCTTTGCTTCCCTTTTGAGTTTCCTGAGATGTTAGTAAGTTTTTTAATTACCTCTATCAGACTAGATGCCAGGATACACAGAATGGTAGCTGTTGAAAGATTAAAAGTGAAAATATGTTGGGATACATTTTTGCTGTTGTTGGACTGTAGACTGGTAGGAGTTGATGAGGAGCAATCGGATCCCTCCAAAATCTCTTAAAGATTATGCTCTGCGGGAGACAGGGCAGAAATCACTATAATGTCATTACATATAGTGTATTTTGCTAACATTTGTGTGCACACAGAGATTAAAATGTGGTTTATTAGGATATCCTGGGAAGAGCAGAGAAAAGCACTGTAGCAGATACATGTGTTGAAGTGTGTGGCAGGAACAGAGGAGAGAGCTCAGTGGAGCATCCCTTTATCTCTCTGTCTTCTCAGTCACTGAGCTTGCACTTGTATACAAATGCTTCTACTGTCTTGTGGTGATTACTGTATGAGTTGGCCTAAAATATTGTTGTACAGTCATACACATTGCCTAATCCATTTTTAAGAGCTGAAAGTGTTAGTCTAATCCAGAAGGGTCATTTGAATTTCCTGAGATTTGTACTCCCTGAACCACAGCAGGTATCTCTGTCTGTCATACACAGTATTTTTACAGTGTTATTCCTCCTTTTTAACTTGCTGACAGCAGGCATTCAAGGTAAGGAAAGCACAATCTTGGTTGCTAAAGCATGAAAGTATTATACTCCTTGCTATAGCTGGGCATTTCTGGTTTACTGCTACACCTCTGCTCAAGAGCAAATCCAGTAGTCACATCACTCTTTTTGTTTCTTTACAGTACCGAGATGCCTTTTTGCAGTTCATGGTTGATACAGCAGTGCTTCTGGGTGCAAATGCTTCACGAGCTGAATCTGATATGAAATCAGTTCTAAAACTGGAAGTTAAAATAGCAGAGGTTGGTAATCTAATGCTTTAATCTTGTGTTCTAAAATGTTGTTGCACAGATCATCTTTGTTGCTCTCATGCAGCATGTACAGGATAACCAAGTGACCAGGCCCAGTCACCATGGGTTTATGAAAGGTGGTTCCTGCTTGACTAACCTGATCTCCCTCTGTGAAAAAGTGACCCACTTAGATGATGTGGGAAAGGCTGTGGATGTTGTTTACCTAAAGTTTAGTAAAGCCCTTGATATCGTTTCCCACAGCACTCTCCAGGAGGAATTGGCTGCTTGGGATCACTCTTTGCTGGGTGAAAAACTGGCTGGATGGCCGGGCCCAGAGAGTGATGGGGAATGGAGTTACATCCAGCTGGTGACGGGTCACAAGTGGTGTTCCCCAGAACTCAGTATTTGGGCCAGTCATGTTTAATATCTTTATTAATGATCTGGATGAGAGAACTGAGGGCACCCTCTATCAGTTTGCAGGGTACACCACGTCAGGCAGCTGTACTGATCTACTGGAGGGTAGTAAGGCTCCACAGAGGGATCTTGACAGACCTAATTGATGGGCCAAGGCCTATTGTATGAGGTTCAACAAGGCCAAGTGCCAGGTCCTGCACCTGGGTCACAGCAACCCCATGCAATACTCCAGGCTTGGAGAAGAGTTGCTTGGAAGCTTGGGGTGGTCAATGAACATGAACCAGGTGGCCAAGAAGGCCAGTGGCATCCTGACTTGTATCAGAAATAGTGTGGCCAGCAGGACTAAGGCAGCGATTGCCCCCCTTTACCCGGCACTGGTGAGGCTTCACCTCGAATCCTGTGTTCAGGTTTGGGCTCCTCACTACAAGAAAAACATTGAGGTGCTCTGGAGCACAAGCCTTATGAGGAGCAGTGGAGGGATCTGCGGTTGTTTAGCGTGGAAAAGAGGAGGCTCAGGCGTGACCTTATCGTTCTCTATAACTATCTGGAAGGAGGTTGTAGTGAGGTGGGGATCTGTCTCTTCTTCCAAGGAACAAGCAATAGGACGAGTGGAAATTGCCTTAGGTTGTGTCAGGGTAGATTTAGATTGGATATTAGGAAAAATAATTTCTTCACCAAAAGGGTTGTCAAGCACTGGAATAGCCTGCCCAGGTAAGTGATTGAGCCTCGATCCCTGGAGGTATTTAAAAGACGCATAGATGTGACGCTTGATATGGTTTAGTGGTGGACTTGGCAGTGATAGGTTAACGGTTGGACTCAGTGACCTTACATGTCTTTTCCAACCAAAGAGATTCTATGCTACTGTAATTGTGGAGCTGGGTAGAATTTGTATCCCTGCTGTGCACCTGTGTTGAACAACCCCTGTTGTTCAAGAAGAAGACTGGGTTGAGTCTCTGTAGAACAGTCTAAAAGCAGTGCAAGGCTGAGGTGAGATACTGGAGATGGTAGTGAGAGGGTGGTGTTTATAGTAGCACCACCCTTAGCTCCTGAGATGCTTCCATGGAGTACTCTGGGAGAGCAGATGAAAAATTCCATGAGTTTTAAGGGGACCAACTGAATTCAGTAAAGAAAAGTGTATTTAAATCTGGTACTTGGTTCTGACATTTACCTGGAGACATTTTTGCCCCCTTGTGGAGTTTAATTTGTGCATTAGGCTTGTTACTGTTTGAAGGAGCATTTTTGTTTCTCTGTATCCCTCTTTCAGTAAGGCTAGTACAAGAATCTCATCCCTGGAAGCTGCAACTCAGATATCATTTCAACTTCTTCTAGAGCACGAGAGAAGAGTTAACCTCAGTGTTGGGAAACCACCAAAGTTTAGGGCTACAAACTTGACAATGGCTTGCAGAACTGCCAGCCGAGCGGAGTATTCCTTTATACTGGCAAGGAAAGAGGCTATTCCCTCTGAGATGGTGGTCTCTTGTTAACAGAGGAGCCTATTGCACAGGACAGGTGATGCAACAGATGACTTTTATCTGGGTTCTGCTGTTGCAATCTACAGGAGGAAAGGCAATGATGCTTTTTAATGATGTGTTTGTACAGAAGTGAGAGCCATCTGCAATAGTAGTAAGTCAGTGTTTCCATCTTTTCTGCTGAAAGGGATGCAATTTGTCAAACCTCTAAATAAAGCCCAATATTCAGCTTCAGTTACTTAGCCTGGATGGACTAATGAGCAAATACTTCATTGTGACCCAGTAGACTTGAAAAACAGTAAACATTCCTTCTGTTTATCCCTGATGTGATTAGAAGATGCTTTGCTAGCTCTGGCAGATCTAATGCTTTATTTAACGACTGTCTTACAGAGCATACAAAGGATGTAGGTGAAGTTGCCATATAAGATGACACAGAACATGTACAAACCCTCGGGATCATTAATGCACATCGTTATGGGACAAACCATACTTGCTCATGGTTTCCTTTAATATGAATAGTCCTCCTCATGTCTGTCCAGATATTAGTAGTAATATCCAGGGATATGGATTACTACATAATCCCTAATGAGCACAATGATTATACATGTAAACATTTTACTGTGATTCAAAGGAGGTAGTCCTGTTTGTCACTTAAGGTTTTACTGTATCCTGTATTCCTCTGCATTTGTTTTAAGTAAACATATATAATGAAGAACTTGTGTGCTCAAGAAGAGGCAGAGAGAATACTTTGGATATAAGAAGGAGTGGCATGCTTTAAAAGAACTTGTTATGTACAAGGATGATTTTTATTAGGATTGAATGACTGGAGAAGGAGGGAAAGTTCTGAGAGGAAGAGAGTAAATGAGTTCAAGAAGAGTTTAAAGATTTGTCAGATAAATCAAATTTTGCAAAAAGGGAAAAGAAAGTAGTTTTTTATTTTTCTGTCTGGCTTGAGCAATAGTAAAACCGCAGACACTTACTGGAGAATTTTGGTTGGAGAACTGCCAGCTGTCTGGTTAGTCTGGCATCAATCTCTGTCCTCTTTAAACTGCACAGCATACAGCTTGTTGCATAGGATTTACCTTAGAGTAGGGCTGGAATTGCCATCGGGAAGTTTTATTTCTCTTTAACTCTGAGAAAAATTTGAGGTATGTCTTGTACTTGGTTTGTTTTTCTATTATGTACCAGAGGGCCACGTTGAAGTCTGAACATCCCTCTTGTCAGTTATAAAAGGACTTGCTTTATATTTAGGATTTCTTTTGCTGGGTCCTTGGACTTTGACATCCCAGAGGAACTTGAGGTCTGGCTCCTCTGGTGACCCAGATGAAAGGCCTGGCTAGGGAATGCTTTAATTCATGTCTGGCCTATGTACCTGGGTTTCCTGCTATGGAATTCAGGATGGTGGGGTGAAATGAGGAGAAGTTTGTATGCATCTGGCTCTTTCCTCTGGTAGAGTAAGGCTATAGCAAGAACATGTTGAAATCCGAGACATGAGCTGCACTTCCAGTATGCCTATCTCAGGTTTGACCTTTTAAACCCTACAGGTTGGAGCTGGCTTCTACTTGATATGATGGGATGAATAGGTATTAATGGTTTAGGTGTATTTTTATATCTTATGAATTAACATGTCTTTCCTTGGTATAATCAGAGCTGAAATTGGTCTAATATGTTCAAAGAAGACATTTAGCTCATTAAATTCCCCAGTAATGAGTTAAACTTAACTAAGTTCCATTTCTTCCAGTTAAATGTCATCCTCAGAAAGGGAAGTTAATGCCCTAAATGCTTGGAAAACAGGTGGTGAGATATTTCTGCACTGGGATTATGACGAACAGTAATGACGTAAGAGCAGGTCCCTGCAAGATAATCCTTGTTTTGATGGTTTTGTGGGTTTTTTTTACCTCTTTCCCAGATCATGATTCCATATGAAAATCGAACGAGTGAAGTGATGTACAATAAAATGAACATATCGGACCTTAGTGCCATGATTCCACAGGTTGGTTGCAGATAATTGCAAAATTATTCTTTTCATATCTGACCTAAATAATTAAAATGCCTTCAGCGTGCAGAGAAGCATGTTAAAGGAATATCATTAGGAATGTGTATGCTCACTTACAATATATGTCCTTTTAAAAACAGTTACAACTTTACTGAGGATTGAAAACACATGTAATGACAAAGTGCAACAGTTTCTAAATTTTTATTAAGTAAAGCTTTGAAACCATTAGTTTTAAAGGTACAACTTAGTTAATAGATCATCTGTCTTTATAATTTGATTTAACCAGCCTTCTCTTTGTCATTGCAGTTTGACTGGCTGGGATACATCAAGAAGGTGATTGACACCAAACTCTATCCTGAGCTTAAAGATATAGGTCCTTCAGAAAATGTGATTGTCCGTGTTCCCCAGTACTTCAAAGACTTATTCAGGATACTAGAAAATGAAAGGAAAAAGTAAGGATGATTTCACCCACATTTATGAGGGTACATCAAATTCTGGGCTTTTCCTATATTTTTCAGGAGTTTCAGATATTCCTGGAATCAAGACTCTAGGAAAATGGTCTGTTTGGTTTTGTCTGAATGAGGATATCGATATTATCTTGTGTGTAGCAGGAGAATTTGCAGTTTCAACACCTTTCTTCTATGGAAAACTCAGGCTATAGTCAAGCTGCGTTTTCCAGATGCATTCAGCATCTCCTACTTTTATAGGGTCTTGTATCTTGTGAAATGATTTACATCTGTAGAACATAGTTGTGGAATGCTCAGATTAAACATATTAGATGTACTTTGCACAGGGAAGCAAGACAGCTTTGAGCAGTGATGAAAAAGCAACACCCCATTTGAAACATCATTATTGATGACATCTAAGGGATTTCTGCGATAATTTGTTTTTCTGCTGAGACGTGTTGCTGAACTTTTAAAAAAATATTGTTAAGCTGCTTTCTCCAAATATAAGTCTTTGCTGACTGCACAATATGGCCACAACTAAAAGTACGCTTCAGAAAAAAAAAAAAAAAAACAACCAAAATAATTCAGAAGAGTTATTCTTATATTATTGCTCTATGTCTCTAGTGATGGAATGCTTACATTAATTCATAGTACCTGTAAAAACAGCACACACATCAAACAATAAGAAAAATAAAAATTACTGATTTACCTGCAGATCATCAAATGTCCTTTCTTTATAAAAGTCAGACAAATACCGTTAGTGTGCCACCAATCTTAATCTGCTGAAGAAAGTATTTTAAATTATTTGGTCTGTCCATGCTTTGTATCTCAAAGTTAGTTACATCAGTGGCGATAAAGCAGTGATTTAGAGGATGCATATCTAGCAAGACAACAGAGAATTAGTTATTCCAAGTATACAAATAGAGTTACATGCAAATATATTCTGTAACTACAGAGTAAATACTTGGAGACTTTTTTCCAGTAGTTTCTTATTCAGGGAAAATCTGAGTATTCAAGAGAAGTTAAGCCATCCAATGTGTCATGGCAGAAGGAGGCAGGAGTAAAGACCAGAAATAATGTCATCATCTGACTTCAGCAAAGCTGGAAACCAGCTCTCTGGCCCCACAGGTTGGGAGAAGGGGGTTGGGCAAAAGTAATCTCTCATTCTGGTATATTCATACTGCATATGTTGTAGCTGATAATGGCTTAGGCATTTTCTACCCAGTCTTACCTTCAGAAATTTGCATCATAAAATGCTAGAAATGGCAAACAGTCTTAAACTCAACCCAAACAGGCTTCACATTGTTGTGTGTAAAATGCATCCCAACGGCCCTTGCATGATAACAAAGATCATGTTTATCTATTAGGTGATAATGTTCATTACTTCAAATGTCAGAGTGCATTCCAGAAGTAACCTTGTTATCTTGCCTGAGAAAATTAGGAACTCATCTTAATGTGAACTCCTAACAATGAGGTTAGGGTGAACTCTGAAAGCTTAACAAGGATATTTTCTTTTAGATAATCTCATTTGTCATTCTCCATATGATATTTTAAAGGTTAAGTAAAGGTAAAAATCTATGAATTTTATTTTTTACTTTAAATATCTATACCAATCAAATTCCTAGTAAATCCTTAGATTTGGTTCAGTGTTTAGAATGTGAATTAAATTCTCATAATTTCAGGAGATGCAGTGTCATTATGAAATGCAGGTACTTTCACAAAGTTCATATTCTTTTTAGTTACAAATTTCTCTCTAAACTATACTTTTATTCCAATGCCTTGTGTGTTCTCTTCCCAGATGAGCACTCTGCTAGCATGGGTACAATTCAAAATGTCACAAAAACATGGTTCATGCCCCAGTGATCTGGTAAAGTACTATATGAAGTTTGTTCCAAGTGGAGGGAAGAATGGAGTGAAAATTAAGTCTGATTACAGAGGCAGTTCTCTGTGTTGGAGGTGGCAAGTCATATGGACTCAAAATCATTGGAATAAAAAATTCTCCCTCAGAGAACCTGCTGAGCAGTCTTGAATCATGAAATCATTCGCATGGCTATATTATTAGAAGGTAGGACATTGGCACAGTGTAGAGTGAATTTAGTAGAATTTTACTTGACTGCATATAACCAAGTTACTGTGTGGAGCTTGAAATTGGTGCAGCAGTGTGGTTCAGGGGTCTTTCTGAAGTTCCCAAGCCAGGGCACTGCTGTGACTCCTGTCAAGGAGCACAGCTCTCTGTAATAAGCTGCCCAAGAAGCTGAGCAACTAGCCTGCAGGAGTTTCCATCAGCTCTGGGATAGCTAGCCCAAGTCATGTCCTGTGTTCAGTGATGAAGTCACACTTTCTTCATAAGAAGTTTACAGGGATTCCTTCAATTTTTTTGGTGTACCAAATTTTTTAGTGGGGTTTATCTCTATCACAGGAGGAAGAGGTGTATGTATGTAGCTGTGATATAAATGAGCGACAGCAGAGCTCCAGTATAGCTGTGCCATGTGAGGGGGGAGGCAGAGCTGTGCTGGCACCAGAGTCCCTTATATTCCTTCCTTGTTACCTGTGTGCTGGTGCTTTATGTGAGCCATAAATAAGACGCTGTAAATTGCATCCTTTTTGGAGACGCTTGCAGTGCTTGAAAGAAACAGCTTTATCGTTCTTACAGATACCGGGATGGACAACAGTTTCATAGGATCATAGAATGGTATGGGTTGGAAGGGACCTTACAGATCATCTAGTATCAACCCTCTTGCTGTGGACAGGGACAACTTGCGCTAGACCAGGTTGCTCAGAACCCCATTGTGATGACCCACCCTTAAGGGGAAGGGCATCCTGGCCTTGAATGCTTCCAGGAATGGGGCATCCACAACTTGTTCAGTGCCTCATCCCCCTCATAGTAAAGAAGTTCCACCTATTATCAGACAAATCTGTCCTTTTTCAGTTTTAAGTCCTATCACTACATGCCCTTGTGAAAAGTCCGTTTCCAGTTTGCTTGTAGCCCCCTTTTAATTTGTCTTACCTTACCCTATCTTTACAGTCTGATACTGTTAATTGACAAGTACCGTAATTCCTATAGCATATGAGGAATTTTCTTCAGAGAGAGATGGAGGCACTAGATCTTCTTTTTGGTCTTAGCATGCCTCTGAAAAAAATTAGAGAGAGAAGTTAAAATAATTTGACTTGAACTAGTGCCTCTAGCAATAAGGCAGAAGTTTTTCAGTACTTATAATTTGATTCGTGACTCAGTTCTAAATACAACTTTCAAACAGATCTAAAATTTGTGAAAGGGATCTTTTTCTTCAAATGTCAATTAATTTGTCCATCTATCTCATATTAAATCTGTCCTCTTTAATTGCTACCATGTCTGTTGATTAAAATATTGCAAACTCACAGAATTTTACATGAGCAACCTACTTTATTCCCAGACAGGACAGAGAGTACTTCAGTAAATATTCATAAGCACTGTTACAAATTTAACTGTCCTAGCAAACAAGCTCCCTACCACTTCCTTTGGGAGTGTGTGTCACAATAATGGTCATATTGGTTAAGAGTGAGCCTACACTTTTTGTAACAGCCATTTGGAAGTTAAAATAGAGGGCTATGTACTGTAGTCTTCCGAAAAGTTATAACAACAAATGCTCTGGTCTCATTGAAAAAGCAGAGAGGATTTTTATGAGTTTTTTTGTGGTTTGGATTTTGCTCCATGTGTAGAGGTTAACTTCTCTGAGCCTCAGTGAACTTATTTGTGAAACTGGGATGGAAATCACCCCAAGAAAAGCATTGAAAGCATTTCATAAACAAAAAGTGTCAGTTTTTAAACGAACTGAAGAAGACATGATTTGAAGTTTTTATAGGTAGCCTAAAAGGTAAAATAATCATCCCCAAAATAGATAAACAAATTCAGATAAATTACTATTTTATACTGTTTTAAAAAACAAACTAAAGAACACTACTCCACAAACATGTAACAACAACCCCCTCAACCTTTCTCCCTGTTACCCACCCAGCAAATAAACATAACTCTGCACTTTGAAGTGAAACCTTCCTGTTTTATGCATTTTAAGCATCAGTGAATTCTATTGTGATTACATGCAGGAATTATTACAGTCTCACAGACAGCTTGGTTTTAGGATGTGTCAGTCTTTTCCTTCCCAAGTTAAAACAAACCTCAATTAATTGTGAGATATTTACTGCAACTGTCAGCTGCTTTCATTACTTATGTCTGGCACAAATATTTCTGAATTCTTGTTGATATTTTTGTCTTTCAATAAGTCACCTTTTTGAGACTCATCCTTTACAAATTTCATTCTTTTATTCACTACCAATTTGGGAGAGGTTCCCCAACTTCAATATAAGGACAAATATCACTATATGAGAACAAGAAGCACATAGAAGAGAGAATTGATTTTTTTGGTTGCAATTAAGTACCAAATTGTAATACATAATTTGTTTATGATAAGGATCTGTTTAGATGAGGTTGTTTACCTAAGACTTTTGATCAAAATTAAATCTTTAAACCTTTTAATCTGTAGGACTTGCATATATACTGTTTCAGATACAGACAGCAGCTGCTGCAGGAGCATGGATGCTCTTCACCTCCATTAAAATATCTGAGGCAGATAGTTGTGAGGTTTATAGAGTTTGAGTAATTTACAAAAACGAGAGCTCTGTTTTTAGGTGCTTCACTTGCCATTGAGTGAGAAAATTCCACATTGTCACAAATGTGTTAAGGGGAAATTCTGTACTTTCTGGTATTTCATAGCTTGAAATGAATTTTTAATGACCCAAAGCATTATCTCAAAATGGTTTGATCATCTAAGCAGAGGTAACTATTTTGGCTTTTGCAACACGTACGATCTTATAAATGTACATTATTCATGCTAAAAAGCTTTTTCAGATCTGTTTTACGATTATTGTGGGCATTTAGGTACACTATATGATATATCTGTGTACTAAAAAAGGGAATATGCCCAGAGTGAGAAATGCAACAACGCATCTTGAGCTGAAGGCTTTGTGTGGGTGGACTGGAACTTGGTTAGAGGCAGAACTGAAGTTATGTTTCAGGAAAATACTGCTGTCAAGACAACATGCCCACAAAGTGTGTTTATTATGTTATGTTATGATTCAGAGGAGGGAACCGTATGGGATGTGTCTGTGAATGAAGCTAATGGAGTGAGAATGTAGCAACAGCTACACTGCCCCACACCCGTGGCAATGGGAGATTGCAGAAATGGGATTTTTAGAGGTGGGGGTTTTGTTCATACAGTCCATAACAGCATCTTTGGTTGCAAAGAAGCAATTTTCCTACCTATGGAAAAGTCTATGGCTGTTATGTATATCCCAGTGTAGAGCAAACAATGTTTGGATGTCCACAGCTTTAAAGCAATGACTGTCCTTGAAAAAACATGTCATGTAAAAGAGAAGATGAGAATAATATGTATTATTGGGCATTACTGGTCTTGTTTCGAGACTGTTTAGAGTTGAATTGCATATTTCAGAATGCACCTTTACCTTGTACAGCCACTGCTGAACAGGGGAAGAGATAAATCTAGACTAGATAACTCCTCCAGTCAGGTGCTTGAAGTTTTAGAGAAGGGGCATGGATGTCAGGTCTCCTGGGAATTTTAAACAATCTCTTCCTGGATCTCTCAGCCTCAATTCTTAGGAGATTTTTGTTACTGAGACTTCTCTTTTTTTGGTATTTCAGTTATCCATCTGACAAAGTAAGAGTGGTAATACTTTAATAACTCTGAGAGGAGTAGAAATTTTAAAGCATATTGATAACTTCTAATGAAAGATACAAATATGAGATAATGATAATATTTATGGGATGGACTGTTATCTACTCTGTTACCATTTATGTGCCCTACTAATGAGGAGAGATAACATTCACTTTGATCTACAAAAGAAAAATCAGTTATCTCTGGATAGAACTTTTATGCAACTATTATTATAACACAGTTCTTGCTACTTCTAAGGAAAATGAAAGCTGCCTTTTGGAAAAGACATTACCTAGAAATGACATAAAAGGTGATGGACTTGTTATAAATAACCCCTAGAACATGCTTATCATGGTGCAATTACATGGTTGCAATCGTACAGATTCTCCTGTGTGCTTGGGCTTTACCAATCTGGTCATCAATCACTGACTTCCAAGGTGAAATTTCCACCACTGAGGTGAAATGTTTGTAGAGATATTTCTCTGAGTGCTATGTGGTAAATTATATGTGTTGTCTGATAAAAATATTTCTGATTTAACAGGACTCTTGCCAACTACCTGGTGTGGAGGATGGTTTATGCAAGGTTATTTAACCTCAGCAGACGTTTCCAGTATCGGTGGCTGGAATTTTCTCGGGTAAGTTAATGTTTTCATAGCATTTACGGAGGTACTAGTGTTGACACTATTGGTTACCCTTGTAGTTTCTTATTTCTTTTAAAACACAAAATGTTTTCTATGCTGGATGAATTTCTTGAATTTACTTTTTTTTTTTTTGTTGAAGACTAACTCTGAAACAATTGGCATATGTATTTTTGTATATGACACTAAGAGAAATGTCTTTTAGATTAAGTTAAACAGTTTTTGGGACCTACTCTTAAAAAATCTTAGTCTTCTTTTGCAGAAACTTGAAAGCTGGAATGTTTCTGACTTAGGTCATGTGGGCTGTGACCTATGCCATTCCTGCAGCCCCAAACCATTTGGCCAAAACTTAAACTTTTTGAAAAACCTACTCTTTATCCATGTGTGAATATAGCTGTGGTAAAACAGAAATCTTAAGATTTCAGGTTTTTTAAGCTTGCTCAAATCTCTCCCATGCTCTAATACCAACTTTACATGAGTTCTAGCACATCCATACATGAGCCATTTCCACAAAGAAGATTATCAAATGTCTTCCAGCTTGGGGATGAGGAAGAATCATAAGACTGCACAAGCTATGAGAGCAGAATTAGTTATCTATTAAGTAATATGGGCATTTATGTAAAACATGTGTATTTGCCTGAATGAACACTGAGTAGAAAGCCACTTTGGTAATCCTGTGGGCAGTGTGAGGGCTCTTTACGTAAACCAAAGATGAAACTGAAATTGATTGATGTTTTGTCTTGTTTAGCCACTTTAGATGGTGAACTTTGTTTGCTATTATGAAAATTAGCTGTTTGGTGACATCATGATAACAGGAGGCTGGTGTGATACTGGCAGTGATGTCATACAGGAGGTGTGGGTGTTCTGTCCTCCCTGGTGAGGCATGAAAGTGACTAATTGAAGCATCTATAATGTCTTTCCTTGGATAGTACTGGAAGAGTTCTGAGCTGATCACATACCTAAAAATAAACTCCAAAAGCTTGATAGAAACTACACAGGAAAAGCAGCCCTTTATACTTCTGAAATCATATTCAATCAGTCTTGTTAAAGATGTTATTTTCTTCAAGTAAAATGTGAGAAACTGGCTGTCAGAACCACACTGACATGTTTGTAAGTGTGTCCTCTCCTGGGACATTCCTTGTTAGTCAGGTTAAATAGATGGATGCTGGCCGTCAGCCAGTCTGCAGCATAATACTGAGTTACATTGAAATATATAATGACCAGAAAAATTCCTGGAAGGAAATGTTAAGCTTTGAGCAATGTGCATTTTAGTATGGTGACTAGCTGCTGTCACTTCTCTGGGTACTTTCTCCAGAAGTTTAGGGAAAAATTTAATTCAAGTTGATTCAACAATTATTAATAATCTCATAAAGGCTGTCACCGAATCACAGAATGGTTCAGGTTGGAAGGGACCACAGTGGGTCATCTGGTCCAACCTCCCTGCTTAAGCAGGGCCATCCTATAGCACATGGCACAGGATTGCATCCAGACAGTTCTTGAATATCTCCAGTGCAGGAGACTCCACAACCTCTCTGGGCAACCTGTTCCAGTGCACGGTCACCCCTACAGTAAAGAAGTTCTCCCTCCTATTCAGGTGGAGTTTTCTGTGCATCAGATTCTGCCCATTACCTCTTGTCCTATTTCTTAACACCTCTGAGAAGAGCCTGACTCCATCCTCTTAACATCCTCCCTTCAGATACTTATGGATATTGATGAGGTCCCCTCAGTCATTTCTTCTTGAGGCTGAGCAGGCCCAGCTCCCTCAGCCTTTCCTTATAAGGGAGATGTTCTATTCCCTTAATCAGATTTGTCTCCCTCCACTGGAACTGCTCCAGGAGCTCCTCTTGTACTGAGGAGCCCAGAACTGGACACAGCACTCCAGATGTGGCCTCACCAGGGCTGAGCAGAGGGGCAGGATCACCTCCCCTGACCTGCTTGCAATAATCTTCCTAATACAGCCCAGGATGCTTTTGACCTTCTTGTGCACAAGGGCCCTGCTGGCTCACGGACAGCTTTTTGTCCCACGGGACCCCCAGGTCCTTCTCCACAGGTGCAGGACTCTGCATTTGCCCTTGAATTTCAAACTCTTCTTTGCCCATTTCTCCAGCCTGTCAAGGCTCTTCTGAAGGACTGCACAGCCCTCTGGGGTATCGGCCACTCCTCCGGCTTTGTGTCATCAGGAACTTGATGAGGAAGTGTCTGCCCCTTCATCCGAGTCATTGATGAATAAATTAAACAATTCTGGACACATAAATGGTTGTGAAAGCTTACAGCGCAGTAAGGGCAGTGAGTCAGCAGCTCATTCCGATTATCTGCCCCTGGGACCAGGAGATGGAGATTTAGCTAAGTGCAGTAAACAGCAGTTGCTAATAGTTAATAGCTAAATTTAAGTGGAGCAAACAACTCAGTGGAACAGACTTCACAGGTCAGCAGAAAGAACATGAGAAATGGAGCCCAAGGCAAAGGCCTTGTTGAATAGTTTTGTCTGGCCAGAGTATGGAAAACTAAAGGCACTTCAGGATCATAAGAAGGACCCACCAACCTCTTGCCAGTTAAGTGAATAAAAGATTGAATAGCTACTGAAAAGACATGACCATGAGATGAATCAGTGACCCTTAAAGGAAAGGATATATTTTATACATGCATTGTTTCATTAATTCATTTAGCCTCACCTATCATAAGCATATTTTTTTTTTTTCACCAGGTTTTAATTTTCTATTAGTGGCTTTTACAATTTATATGTAGATATCTTGGCATCAAGACCTTAAAATCTTTGCAAAGAGAGGGAAAAGACACGATGAAACTTCAAAAAAGCTTCAGATTGAGAAATAGGACAAACCTGCTGACTCTAGAGAAAGTGCTTTGAGAACCACGTCAGCAACTATCAGCAGCTCCTCTGCAGTGGTGCTTTGAGACCTAGTAAATGTGCAGTGGCACCTGGGGAAGAGATTGGTTAATTGTGTTGTGAAGCTCTGAATTGACTGGGAGGGCTTGAAACCTGCTATTTATAGTCACTGTTACTACCTGGAGTACTGTGTTTTAGAGTGCTACATTAATATTAGGAGGACCATTTGAGGGAGTTCTTGTTGGCTGTTGTAACATAAATATCAATAAACCAGCTGTGAGATATAATCTATTCCTCTCAGCTCTATTTTTATTGGTCTCACAGCTTGTGCTGCCTTTATGTCCTCTTTACAGTCAAGCCTCCCTCAAAATAATGATAATTATTATGTTGTAATAATAGTATGTCACAGTCTAAAAGCCAGCTCTGTCTCCTGGCTCTTTCTATGGCTGCTTTTGGAAGGAATTTCAGGCTCTGATGACTAATGCTGTAACTCCCCCTCTTCCCCCTGCATTGGGAAAAAGCTCCATTGTGGGTTTACTGCGACTCCAGGGAGAAATTTTCTTCTCTCTTTTCTTCTTATCTTTTTTTTTTCAAGTGTTGTGCTATGTATGAGGGTTGAAGAATTTGGAAAAGGAGTTGATTTTCAAATTTGGCTCTGTTTAGAAAATAATATCATCATATATATTGGTTTGGCTAATATGGTTCTTTATAGAAGCACTGTACTCTCTGCCATTGGAAATCTGTTACTGCACATACACTATTAATAAAAATCATTTGAAAATGCAATGCACTGGTATATTTAAGTGTGAGTCATTGATTAAGTTTAATTACAGACAATATGATAGGGAAAATCAATCTCTGAACAACCAAAATATCTCACCTTCAGTGGCTGAGGGTTAAGCTGCTTTGGAATTTTCCAATGAAATCTTTTCCTGTTGAAAAAAAAACCCAAATCCAAACCCTTCAGTTTTGCTGGATATCTAATCTTGTGCTCAAAGGAGGAGAATAATGGGGAAAAAAAGAGGCTCAGAAACTGCAAAATCAGTGCTTAAGAGGCTTGTATAATCTGTGAGAGGTCAAAATCCATATCCTACGTGATCTGGTCTGATGTTGATTGTACTCTCCTTTTACACAGCTGAAAGGCATTAACTACTAGACTGGAATTTTGCTTGTTCTCTGTGGAAAACCTTAAGTGGAAGGGGAACACTTTGAACCTTGAAAATAACAAAAGTTTCTTAAATCAGTGCTTCTTATTGCTTACATGCCCCATCTCGTATTTTGTTATGTGTAGGGTTTTTTTACAGGATCTACCTTGACAAACAAATGTCATGTAACTGGGTAAGCATCCACAGTAACAACATTCTTCCCGTGAGAAACAGAAACTGAGACAGCAAATGTTCTTGAGTTCCGTTTTGCTTTGTTTACTGGTATGATGACCATTCTTGACTACATCTCTTTTGAAGCTCCTGTATGGTTCTGTAGGGATATCATCAGACCTAAAAGTGTATGTTTAATGGCCATTTCCTTAGTAAAATATGCAAGATGTTCTACCAACATTTTTCTAACACAACACGAAATGATTTTTCTTTTTCTGTGTGTGTGTGAGGGGGAGACAGGCATATATTCAGTGTTGTTGATGATTCAAACCTGCTTTTTTCCTGAAAATACTCTGTTTGGGAAAGGAACTGAAAACAAATATTTTACAAAAATTGTGGTAAAAGCAGTTGACAAGTAAATCACAAAAAGGTGTGCATGTGTACCTACTGATGCTAGACATCATTAGTTCATGGCAGTGAGGGTTTTGCAAGAGGTGTTTCATTAGGATTAACCTAATTTTCATGAGGACAATCTCCTTAGGCTTCTCACCTAGACAGTGAAAAGAGAACCTTTTCCAGGAGATACAGCAGGGATTTTCTATAGGAAAGTGTCTCTCTACTTGACACAGAAAGAATACCAAGATTAGTCTAAATTTAGCACTTGGGGATGTCTTTCTATAACTAACCCTCTAAGCCTAGCTTCTCCAAGTCATTACCATTGTACTGTTCCTAAGTTTAAAATCTTACATCTATTTTGGTGTATTCAAAAGATTTACCACTTGATGAAAGTAGAAATAACTGTAAAGTATCATTATTTTTTCCTTTTGGTAGCTATTTTACAAATATGCTCTAGATGATACTGTATGTGGGTGCAGAGTTGTTCTTCTTAAACCATATGATATTGTGGCCCCTGCCAACAGGTGATCCATGGGACCACAACTTTGCTGCCTCAGTGGGATAAATGTGTGGACCTTGTTGAAAATGCACTCCCCTACGTTGTGGGCAAGATGTTTGTGAATGCCCATTTTCAAGAAGACAAGAAAGAGATGGTGAGTCCTCTGCAATGTCTGCCTAGAAACTTTGGATTAGTAGCTTCCTCCTCACAAATTGTCTCTGATGTTAGAATAAAGTTTAAAAAAGATATAAGATTCCTAAATATGCTTTGATTTGATTAAAAAAAAAAAAAAGGACAAGGAGAAAATGAGAAAATGGAACAAATTTGATGAAATGTTACCTTTTTGTCCATCTGGCACTGCCCATTCTTTTCATCTGCATCCCTACAGATAATTATGTAGCCACATCAAAACCAGGCTGAACACTGTTAAATGGTGTAAGTAATGACAGCCAGGCTGTTCAGGAATGGAGTGAGGGGCATTGATGAGAAATGTTTTAGTATAGCTAGAGTTACTCATTATGGTAAAGCTTTTATTGACTAATTAAAAAACTGGTCAAGATGCTGTGCTTCAGGGCTACTCTTTGAAAGCTGTGGCTGGGCTACACCTGTAATCTAAGCAAGAAACACTTAAATTATGTCTGGTCCAATTAAGGGAAGCTTAAAGCCACATAGTGAGAGTGAATCAAATCTGTTTTGCTGAACAGTGAAAGGAAGTCTTCTTTCACACTGTTGAGTCCAGGGGATTGTTCGTCCTCATTCTAAAACTTCAAAGATAGCTCCTTTATCAATTATCTTAATAACATATTCAAATTAATTACCCTTCACAATAATTTATGACTGATTTTCAGTTCACATTTTTCTTATAAGGTTTTCCAATATCTTCTTTTACTGCCATTGATTTTGCAACAATAACCAGTTTTAAATTAACTAATTTAGTAATTGAACTTAGCTCTCAGTACAGGAGAAGCACAACCATGTAGGAAACATGTGAAATAGCATCCTGTGCTGGGAATAACAGTTCTGTGATATCCCCACACTGTCCTGGCTAAGTAGCCTAAATTTGTCTGTTTGACTTTATCTACTTTGACTGCTTTGTTAGGGAAGGATTCCATTTTAGACAGCACACACTTACTTGGCTTGTCCAAATCTTTGTCATCTGTTTCCCTCTCAGGTTCTGCATTTCTTTTGCTACTTGCCTTCAGCTGGAGTTTCCTCTCTGAGATGCAGCTTTTCAGTCCCCTGCTTCTTGATAGAGTTTGTAGTGTGCTATTTGGCTATGAAATGGCAAAAATATGTCAGAGATATACAGTATGATATCCACATAGGATAAGTGGGGAGAGTAGGAGTGTAAGAAATGTATATTTTATGGAGGGGATGGAAACTTTTCATCTTTGTATATGTGAGGGAAAATTCTGAGAAGCAGATGGAGAATAGAATGGTTTTCTGCTGAAATGTGACCTAATTAGAATGCTTCTTAGCATGTACATTCCTCTTAAAACAAGGCTTTGAAAAATTATCAAGTCTAAAGTCACAGTAGCATCCACAGAGAGAAATGCATATAAAATTTATAGTGTAGGCCACAACATTCAGCCTTAAAGTGAACTGCCCATGAAGATAAAATTAAATACAGGTGAAATTCATTGCATTCCATTTAGAAGTATGCTTTTCAAGTTATTAGTTTGTGGTGTTATCATTTTCATTTCACAGGTTTTCAGTTCTATTTCTCTTTCTTAAGAAAGTATGTGAGTAAAGCACTCTTATTTGTATAGGTTTTCTTTTTTCTTTTTTTCTTTTTTTTTTTTTTTTTTTTTTTTTTTTTTTTTTTTTTTTTTTTTTTTTTTTTTTTTTTTTTTTTTTTTTTTTTTTTTTTTTTTTTTTTTTTTTTTTTTTTTTTTTTTTTTTTTTTTTTTTTTTTTTTTTTTTTTTTTTTTTTTTTTTTTTTTTTTTTTTTTTTTTTTTTTTTT